ATCAGAGGTTACAATTCAAACCAAAGCAGCCCATGAGAAACCGCGGCGCCCGGCCCCAGTGTTCCCAGGCTCTGCCGGGCTCTGCTCGGCCTACAAGGTTTAGCTTGCAAGCTTCCATCAACCCCTTGTAGAGTGCTTCAGCCCTGAAATGAGCATCTCCTTACTGTTTTCTTGTAGTGGAAGTCCTCCTTCTTGGAGTGGGTAGGAGGTTGGGGAAGGAGAAGGGAGGAAGAGGGAACTGTGAACTGTGGTCTTGCTCTCTGCTGCTGGCGAGTGCAGACCTGGGTGACTGAGGCAGCGACAGAGAGGGTGCAGGAAGGAAGCCTCTTTTTATCTCCTTACAATGGGAGTGGCAGCTGTCTTCATGAGAGAAAGAACGGGCCACAACATTGTTTTTCTCCCCGCTTAGGAGCCAGGTTTCCAGAATCAAATTTCTCATTAAATATCAGTACCCCAAAAGTTAACCAGCACCAGGCCTGGGACACTGAGACAGCCTGCTGCAGAATTTGGAGCCTCAGGAGGAACCAAAGGGAAGGGTCCAAAGGGTGGGAAGGGAATCCACTCAAGAGGCCAGGAAGGTCATTTACAAGCATCGCTCTGGACAGCAAGCTCAGCCCACTGCATCAGTGTTATGGGAGCCTTATTGCTCCTCCCAGGAGATAAACACACAAAGGTGAGCGGGCAGACCACTGCTCAAGGCACGCTAGGAAAGCTGGCTTCTCCAACCTGCTGCCACAGTCAGGACCCGGGCCTCAGATGGTCTCTCCCAGTAAGGCTGCTTGGCGCCTGACAGTGTATAATCAGGAGGTTCCTCCCTGAGAGGCCTGTGGGAGGTGGGCAGGCAGCCAGGAGAATCCCAGAGAATGCCGAGTGCCACAACTGTCAGGCCTCGGAACCCATGATGTAATGCCTCTCCAGGGGCCAAGGAAAACAAGTCCGCTGTTGTCACTGCCCTCCCAGCAACCAGGCACTGCCCTCCCCACGGCACGGCTGTTCTGCGTAATTACGAACCCACTCTCTCTCCTTGGGAGGAGGAAATATGAAAATCTTTGTTGTCACATGAAAACCAACCCAAGATATGAGAACTGTCTTTTAAAATACATCTTGCTGTAGAGGGATTTCCATAGCAACTTCAGAAGTGTGTATATACTAGAGATAAGTCCAGGCTGATGAAAGCCACCTGGAATGTGAACAGGCTCTGGGCATCAGCAGCTGTGGATTTTTCTAGAACCTGTCATGATGCTGTGTGACCCTGGGCAAGTCACTTACCCTCTCTGATGCCTAAGGTGATAGAATCATTATCAGGCTGAGAGGGATCAAGGTCATCTTGTCCACACTACGGTGGTCTGATGCTTCAGTTCCCCATAGCCTCCCCTGCTTCTTGTCTCTGTCAGTCTCTGGCTGAATAAGGCCTGCCTCAAGGTCTCTGCCAATCTTATTATTTGACATTGGGAAAGACCATGATCATTTAAACTTGATTCTAAAAATATTGCTTAGTCTTTGTAAGAGAAGTGCTTTGCCTGTTTAGGAAACAATATTATTAATAGGGCAGATTCCTGGGAAAGAGTCTCTGAGATGCTGAGATTTGGGCGTGAGAGTTTTATTGGGACTGCTCTCAGGATCAATCCCTGTGGGGTATAGGGGAAGCTCCCGGGGCAGTGACAACAGGGCCCTTAGGCGATCCCTCAGGGACCCTGGAGTGTCCTCCTAGAAGCAAAAGGGGCTGAGCCTTTGAACTCCCACTCTGACAGATTCCCCTGGGAGTTTGCTGCCCCCAGGCAAGGGGCTTGATCTTAAGAGAGGGCCTCGGTCACAGTCCCCGCTGAGGGAATGAGAGCCGGGTCCTGGAGGGAGCATCCGGTGACTGGATGTGTTTGAATTGGATATGAAGGCAGCCTGGGGGCGGGTGCTGAAGAGGGTGAAGACCACAGGTGGCAGAGGCAAAACAGCAAGACAGGATTCACATGTTGGTCTCAGTGGCCTGGAGACTCTAAGATCGGGCAAGTTGCCAGGAGAGTCGAGGCCATGATTTCCTCGTATGTGCAGGATTCAGCCTGGGCTGGTGACACACACGTGAAGTTCAGAGTCAGAAACGAGTTCAGATTCTGGCTCCACGCTTACTATTAACAGCTCTGTGACCTCGGGCCAGTTACTTTCTATCAGTTTCCCCAACGCTTCCAGGGGCTTCCATGTCCAATTCAAACACATCCACGTGGTGGATGACACATTGCTTCACCCGGATGCCCATCCAGGACCCGCTCTCATTCCCTCAGTCAAGGTACCTCTCATAGATCTGTCGTGAGGGCACACTGGGATGGCATGTGGATTTTACACAGAACTAGCACAGGGGAGCTATGACAGCATCCATCATGCTTTCATACACCTCATGTTATACCTAAGTCTTTGATCAAATGGCCTTTTCTCAAGAGAAGGGAACATTCGGAGAATTTCCGATTTGCTCCTTGTTTCTCTGTGCCTTCGTCTCAGCTGGGGCTTGTGAGCCATGTCTGCAGAGAGAGAGAGAGAGCGCGAGAGCCCCAGTGACCCACCAGGGGCCAGGGTAACCATTCTCCGCTTGGAGGCTATGGACGGCCATGCAATATCAAATAAGGGGCCTAATCTAAGTACCCTGCAAACTACGTTCTTTAAAACAAGGTTTTCCTCCCAGGGAACAGAGTCACCCCTTCTTATGATAGGTCCAGTCAACTCTGAAACTCACTTGCAGCTACTTTGCTAACTGTTCGGCCTGTCTGCGCATCTGAAATACATGCCAGAGACCATCCGAGGCCGTGAAAGACTTCAAATAGCTTAAAGGGCTACACAAATTCAGTTATTTTTGTTGACAGACAACGTGGCTTCCATCAGTTAGAAAGGAAAACACAAAGAGTATAGGCCAATGTATGGTCGAAGTTGGGCTGTTCTAATTATAAGAAGGCAGCACAAAATTCCCAAGCGTGATCAAGGGATCTTTGCTATTCTCATTCATTTTCACCATCGCTGGATTGCAATACATAGTGCATATGTACTACCTTGCCTGACTCTAATAATAAGTCCTGTATCCGGCTTTCATGTGAGAAAATTGAGGTCCAGAGAGGTGCAATGATGGGCACGGTGCTGCTCAGCCAAGAGTACCACGAGGGGTTTGGGGTTGGAACCCAGGCCCATGCTTTCTCCATTGTGGGAAGAGTGTCTGCTTACCGGAGAAGGTTCGTGAAGCCCCGTGCAGTGTGGTCCCACTCAGAGTGGATGCTGCAGTGTCAGCTGCTGAGTCATGGCGAGGTTCTGAATAGGGGAGCGTAGTGTGCCCCTGGGGCTGTGTGTGAGAAAGGTCTTCCAGCACCGCACTGGCTCTTAGAGCCTGAACCTGCGTCCTGGAGGGCCCTTGTTTTGTGGCAGCAGAATGCCCTCTCGGTTTGACCGTGTGTCTGCTGCCCAAAACGCTGAAAGAAATGTCTGCAAACAGCACGTGTCAAAACAGGGAGGAGATGTGGTTCAAGGCACCCGCGTGGGGTGGGTCTAGACTAACTCCTCTCCAGACTTGTCTGCTTTGACCTCTGCTGGGACACAGGCACATGGAAGGTCTGGCGATATAACTGCAAGTGTTGCTGAATTCAGGGTGGCTACCAGGATCTGTGTAAATTACAGGGGATGCTTTCCCATACTTCCCAACAGAGTGAAAATAATCGATCTCAAGTAAACACAGCTTCATTCTATCTCAAGTGATTCTCATTTTAAAATGAGGAAACTGAGGCCCAGAGAGGTTAAGTAACTTATCCTCGGTTTCACAGCTACTTAGGGGCAGAATCAAGGTTTCTAACCTAGATTTGGAGCCACATGTCAAATCAGATTTAAATGATATACAGGGCTGGGTGCAGTGGCTCATGCCTATAATCCCAGAGTTTTGGGAGGCCGAGGTGGGCGGATCACTTGAGGCCAGGAGTTCCAGACCCCAGCCTGGCCAACACGGTGAAACCCCACCTCTACTAAAAATACAAAACTTAGCCTGGTGTGACGGTGCATGCCCATAATCCCAGCTACAGGGGAGGATGAGGCAGGAGAATTGCTTGAACCCGGGAGGCGGAGGTTGCAGTGAGCAATGATTGAACCACTGTACTCCAGCCTGGGCAAGACAGCGAGACTCCATCTTAAAAATAAATAAATAAATAAATAAAATGAATATCCGGGACCCCTTGTGAAGGAGAAGTCACAAAAGGCAGCTCGAGGGTGGTGGGAGGAGGTGGCCTCAGTCCTACCCCTGAGTCTTGACGACAGCTGCTCCAGGGAGATGGCATTTTGTTCTAGAGCCCTGGATCTCCCTTCTCCGAATCACTCCCAGCCACCATCCTCCTAATACAACGTTTCCCAAAGTATGTTCCATCAGTACAGTGCTTCTCAAACTAAGGTGCATGTGAATCACCAGGTGACCTTGTTAAATGCAAATTCCGATTCAGTCGTTCTAGACTAAGGCCCGAGATTCTGGGAATTCTAACAAGCTCCCAGTGACGCCAATGCTGCTGGTCTGTGAACTCAACTTTGAGGAGCAAGGTACCAGTAGCGCTTTATAATAAAAAGGATTTGCAGGCAAATACAATTGAGAAAGTCTGAACTAAACAAAAATAAGCTGGTTTCATTACTGCAGGACTTCTCAGAGCCTTTAAAATGCTAATAAGCATTGTTAATTCCCAAGAGGGAGAAATTGTAATGTGGTATACGTGCATTAATGATATAAACAAAATGCTCTGATATATTGGTTTGCAAAGAGGGAACAGAAACTCAGGAAAATTCTGTGCCTTTTTCCCACCTTACCTTGGTTCCAATGCTGCAATTCCAGCTCATGCTCAACCCAACTCAGCACTCCCCACTTTCCCACTGTCTCCTTCCAGGTGTCTGGGTACATGCCTGTCTCCTCCATCAGACCTCATACCCCCTGGCACCCCTGTTCCTCCTCCCTTCCCTGTCCCAGCACAGGCTCTGCACTCAGAAGGCCCCAGGTGGACTACCTTTCACAGACGCGGACGGTCCAGGCAGCAATGATCCACAAAGAGATACTGAACACGAGCAGCACAGTGCCAGGGCAGATGGTCATGAGCGTCTTCATGACGAAGCGGGTGTTGAAGTTGATCTTGTTGAGGGCCCCGATGCTGCGGGATGAGGCATCAGTGAAGAGCTTGCTGTGCAGCAGCATGACTCGGGCGATCAGGTACAGGCGCAGGAACATAGGGATAGACAGGATGATGTCCACATCGGCCTCCGCCCGGGAGGGTGTGTAGGAGAAGGCCAGGCGCGCTGTCCAGAAGAACTTGTACTCGCCAGGAATGGGGTGGATGGCACACACCAGCATCTCCAGGCTGATGTAGAGGATGCGCTCGTAGGTCATGGCTATCCGCCAGTCATCCGCGCCATTGTCAATCACGAAGAGCTGGTGGGAGCAGAGAGTCTGTTAGTGTGGCCAGGATCAGGAAGCGCACAGCAGGGGCCAGGCAGGACAGATGGGGCAGGCTCCTGGGCTCAGGTCAGCCTGACCACCTCGGCATGCTCTTTAGAGGCCTCGCTGTGTGGCAAGAGCCCTGGATGGGGAGTAGGAAGCCTGGATTCAGGTCCAGCTGGGAGACCCTGGCTGAGACATTTTGACTCTCTAGGCCTCACTTTCCTCCTCTGCAAATCACTTCCTGAGATATAGTGATTTATAATAAGAAATCATATATTTGGTCTTCATCCTGCTTTAGGCACAGTTCCTAAAACCCTAGGAATTTCCAAAGTCTAAGTGTCTTGTGTTTGCTAATAAGAAAACTAATAAGTGTCTCGGGTGGGGGGTGGGAATCCAGGGTAGCTTCAGGATGGGCACTGGTTGCCAGGGGAACCAATCTGGTGATGAGATGGTTGGAACTTTCAGCCCCACCCCACGATTCCCTGGGCGGGAAGAGGGACCAGAAGCTCGAGTTGATCACCAATGGCCAATGATGACAACAATTATGTCTGTGTAATGAAGCTTCCGTAAAATCCCAAAAAGCCTGTGTTTTTGTTAACTTCTATTTTAGGTTCAGGGATGCATGTGCAGGTTTGCTATATAGGTAAACTCATGTCGCAGAGCTTTGCTGTACAGATTTTATCACCCAGGTACTAAGTCTAGTACCCAATAGTTATTTTTTCTGCTCCTCTCTCTCCCACTCTCCACCCTCAGTGTCTGTCATTCTCTTCTTTGTGTTTTGATGAGCTTCCAGGCAGCTGGACAGATGGAGGTCCCTGGATACCGGGAGGGTTGGGTCCCCAGAGAGGGCATGGAAGCTCCACCCCTTCCCACACACCCTGCCCTCTGCTTCGCTCGCATACGGCTGCTCATCTGAATCCTTTGTAAAGTCCTTTATGACAAAGCAGTCAGTGTGTTACCCCGAGTTCTCTGAGCTGCTCCAGAAAATCAGTCAAGCCTGAGAAGGGCGTCCTGTGAACCCCTGATTCACAGCCACTTGGTGAGAGGCTCAGGGCAAACAGCCTGGGGCTGGTGACTGGCATTGGAAGTGGGGCCAATGTGGTGGGACTGAGCCCTCAGCCTGGGGGAGCCAACACTCACTTCAGGCAGACAGAGCCAGGGTGGAGTCACACTGCAGAACATGCAGCCACGTGTCCCCAGGAGAACTGCTTGGTATGTGGGAACCAACCCCTCCTTTTTGCTGACCACAGGTGCTCTATGTTGAGCCACTTCCAAGGTCCCCTCCAGGACACAGGTGCCAAATTGGCTGTTTCACGATAGTGAGAAAGATCAACCCATTTGTATTAAAAACACATCCCTGAGCCCCTTTCAGACCTGAGCTGAGCCCTGCAAGGGGATGTGAAGATGAAAAGGTCATGTTTCCTGCATGAGTGAACTCACAAGGGCTGGCACGGATTCCTCCTCCCCACTCAGAGAAGGAGCAGCAAGTTTGCTGGCAGCGCTGTGCCCCTCGGCGGTGCAGTGAAGTGTTCATGGCATGGACTCCGGAGCCGGACTGCCTGATCCTAATGCTACTGGCACTGTGGTCCTGGGCACGTTACCAAACCTCCCTGTGCCTCAGTTACCTCATCTGGGGATGATGATAACAGCTGCTGCATAGAGGTCGCTGTGAGGCTGCAGTGGGTTCGTATAAGCGACATGCGTGGAATCCTGCCTAGCCCCCAGCGTGCTATGTCACTATTAGCTATTCTTATTTTTAGCATTATTAATGGATGTGGCCTCAGTCTCTCTGTAAAATGACAGTTGGGCTCAGTGATATCTAATCTCCCTTCCAGCCCTAACCTTTCACGAAGATGCTTCCTGCTGTCACATCATGAGGATGCCTGTTCACACAAGAACTGACTGAGCACGTGCTGTGCGTCCAGCCTTTGTCTTCGGGCAAGTCCCACTGTGGGGTCCCACCACATTTGAAGACTGTGAAAGGGACTTCACATCCTTCCCCTCTGTGGCCTCAGTCTTCATCCGAGACTGAAATGAGAAGCCTCTAAGGTCTTCTCCAGCTCACGTGGTTGGATTCTTGGAGGGTGAGGCCTGAGATCCAGGCATATGTTCAGTGTGGGCCTCCTGTGCGTGTGTGCACCTCACTTCTGGGAGGTAGTGGAGTATTTACCATCATGCTCTGTCCTCTCTCTCCCGGGCCCTTGGCCCACCAGCAGATCTGGCTGTTGCCTGTAGAACTCATCCACAAACACACGCCACTCAAGACCCCAGCCTCATATGCTGCCTGCTCCACCGACAGCCACAGACAGCTGCTGCTTTCCAAAGCTGCTTATGTTTGCCTTTAAGGAGGGGAGGGCAGGGTCCTTGGCCTAACATGAGCTCAGGAAAAAGGGCACCAGCATCCACACCTCCTGGCAGGGAGAGCAGCTCATGCCCGCATCCTGGGAAGGCCTGAGCTGCAAGACTGGAAAGAAACTAGGCTGGGTTAAGGGAAATTAATGTTGGGGCAAGGGTTGGGTGGAGGTTTTATTTAACCTGGAAATACAACCTCAGCACAGAAAGAGTAACAGAGAGCTGGGCGCAGTGGCTCACGCTTGTAATCCCAGCACTTTGGGAGGCCGAGGCATGCAGATCGCCCGAGGTCAGGAGTTCAAGACCAGCCTAGCCAACATGGTGAAACCCCATCTCTACTAAAAATACAAAAATTAGCTGGGTGTCATGGTGCATGCCTATAATCCTAGCCACTCAGGAGGCTGAGGCAGGAGAATCACTTGAAGCCAGGAGGCGAAGGTTGTAGTGAGCCACGATCACCCCATTGCACTCCAACCTGGGTGACAGGAGCAAGACTGCCTTAAAAAAAAAAAAAGTAACAGAGAGACTGGATCAGCATGGATTTGTGGGGGCTGAAATCCCCCCTTGAGTGAAGCCTCCTTTCTTCCCTTGCACAGGGAGATCAGGGAATGAGGGGCCCTTTATTCTGTCCATCCTTGATGGGCCAAAGGAAGCTTCTGCTCTGTTTCAAAGTTAGTCACCAAGCAGCTTTCTCTCTCCACTATGCTGCCTTCCTTACAGTTCAGCAGGAACCGAGGACCCAGGAGAGGACCTATGGTACCGGGCCTGGTGTCGGGTGAGTGATGCTTGCCTTGCCTTTAGCATCTACCTGTGATATATTTCTGCAGCAAGGGGAACATTCCAGGCAATTCAGTGGGCCCTGAGAGCCATGGGCAGGAGAGGGAGCACTAGGAGGCAAGCCTCTCACCTGCCAAGCCTCAGTTTCTCCTTCTCCCTGCTCTGTAACCCCACAGAGCCACAATGGAGAAGAGAGGAGACAATGGATTGAAAGGGCTTCATAAACTACAAAGGAGCATTTGTTCATTCATTCACTCATTCATTCATTCAACAAACATGTGCTGATGGCCCTTAGTGATGTGGGAGGGGGTTCAGGGTTGCATAAAACAGCTCTGAGCAGCCCCCCGCCCACCCACCCATGGGGATCCTGAGGGGAAACTAGAGGGCTCTATGGGAGCAACTGGCTGAGAGGCTCACCTGGTGTTTCTAATCAGGGAGCTGTCATCTCTGAACAGGAGACAGTACTCAGCACAGCACCAGCTGGAGACTCACCCTCCTCCTTCCCCAGTGCAGCTGAGCCTGGGTTTTTCCAGACACAGGTTTCCCCAGCAATTAGAAAGACCTAATGGCTGCTCAAAGGGTTCCCTCTGATTCTGACTCCCGCCCAACAGGCCAAGCCATGGCAACGTGACTGCCTGGCCAAACTCTTCAAATACAAAATTAAAACCATCTACTCTGTAATAAAGAATCGCATCCGGTTACTATAGTAACTGGGTTCACTCTGGGCAGGAATGGAAGCAACGAGTAACAGATTCCTTGGATTGCCTGGTGAGGAGCGGATTGTAAGCTGTCAGAACTGAAGGGGAGAATTCAATGGCAGCTCTGCCCGGTGCGGCAAAGGGTGCTGGTCCCCAGGGGGCGTCCCCAGCTGCCTCTCAGGTGCCCAGCCTCGGTTGCAGCTTGCTGGTGCAGGGAAGGTGGGGGCCACACGGGGTAGTGGAGCTGGAGGTGGGAGAGCTAGCTTGACCTTGGCCCTGCCTGCCTCGTGGGGTTAGTGTTGGGATCCAGTAATACAGATAAAAAGTCGGACGGTGCATCACTAACTACTCTAAAAATATGAGGCATTATTAAGAGGGCTGACCTGGAGGACACTCATAAACAGTGTGTATACAGAGTGAGTGAGTGTTCTGAGTAGAGGGTAGGGGGAGAGTTTTCAGGTTGCAGATTAAAAGTGTCTGCTAGGCCGGGCACAGTGGCTCAAGCCTGTAATCCCAGCACTTTGGGAGGCTAAGGCAGGCGGATCACCAGGTCAAGAGATCGAGACCATCCTGGTCAACATGGTGAAACCCCGTTTACTAAAAAGACAAAAATTAGCTGGGTGTGGTGGCATGTACCTGTAGTCCCAGCTACTTGGGAGGCTGAGGCAGGAGAGAATTGCTTGAACCCGGGAGGTGGAGGTTGCAGTGAGCCGAGATTGTGCCACTGCACTCCAGCCTGGTGCCTGGCAACAGAGTGAGACTCTGTCTCCAAAAAAAAAAAAGCCTCTGCTAGACAGGGCTCACTGCAGGCTTTTATGCATCTGCAGGGTGGGACATGTTCCAGAAGACCCCATTCCTGTCCTGTGTGAGGGCACTCTATGTTTTCTTCCTTCTGACCCCTGGAATCCCTTGCTCCCTCCCGATTCAGAGCAGGTAGCAGATACCCCACCCTGCTGTTTCCTCACTCTGCCTTCCGTTCATTCCTAACAAAGCACAATCTCAATTATTATTGATTTGCGTTTGTGAGGTTTCTGCTGTCTCTCCCCTTAAACGTGGTTCTCAACCTACTCACATCGCACATTGGAATGACTTGGAGAACTTGTTCAAAAATACCCATGCCCAGGCCCACCCCAGACCAAGTCAATCAGAATCTCTGGGGGTTGA